AACAGAGAGAAAACCTAGTACTACAAGAGAAAGAGCAAAGGTTGAGAGATCGGGAAAGAGCACTACGTGAGGCAGAACAGCTCAGTGAAACAACTGATATTGTGATTGATAAGATAGTTGACAGAGAAGTACAAAAAAGATGTGAAGAAGTAGCYCAGGTATTGAACTGGTGCTAACAATCTAACAAATATTAGTATAAAGACATACAGTAACAGATATTATTTTTAAATTTTAAAAAAATTATTAATATTTTGGGGGCAAATTGTGGAAATCCTTCCATCCATCCATCCATCTATCCATTCTTCTCATCCTGTTCAGTTATCCCATTCTATTTTATTCTATTTAAACTTCAATCGCATCTGTTTCATCSATTCATATTCCATTCCATCAGGGCTTTCAAAATGTTTTGGAGTAGRTGGTCATAARTCTGAATAACTGACTGTRATCAGATACAAGAAASGGCTTACTCTGAAAGCCCTGTCCATMCATTCCACTTTGTTACATTTCATTCCAGCCATCRTTATYATCCWGCWATTCATTCATCTATCCATCCATCCTGTCCTATTTATTCATTCATTTATACAGTATATCCCTTTTATCTAATGTATAATATTACATATTCTTGAGCTTGTGCTGTCTCTTTTCACAATGTCATCATTTTAAAACCTCTGGTTCTCTTGTCAAGAGTTAYGAAGACCAGATATTGGTACTTGAAGAGGAAATCCAGAAACAGAAGTCAGAAGTTAGAAGACTAAAAGATTCCTTCAACACTATCAAAACTGCTAATGATGCTCTCAAAAAACAGGTATTTATCATTCAAGATTTATATTATACAGTATATACTCTCAATTTCAAAATCACTGTTAAGTTCAAAAACAGAGAACATAGAAGGGAAATATTATGTTAATTAGATGTATCTAGTGATACAACTTGTGGAATGTTCATAAATTGTTGCACTGACACATGTTTCATATCGCCTCTATATCTCAAGTGAATACATTAGAGGATAATTGTGTCATTTTCCAGGATACCTTTCAGTCTCGGCTTTTATGTTCTATGTTTTAAACGCATATTATTTTTCTATTGAGTTTATTCTGCTGCGTTATGAATTAGTATAGGAAATCACACAATCTCAAGTACAATTTGGAAATTAATAGACACGAGTAAACTTTCAAAACATTACGAGTGTCTATTAATTCCAAATCGTACGAGGAGAAGATCGTGCGATTTTTTGTTTATAGTTCACTCAACAAAACTTCAGTAAAAAATGTGAAGCAACGCCGTTCATCTTTGTCTATTTGGCGGCCGATTTTCAGTCCATCGCGCAACTGAAATGCATAAAAAAGATTAGTTCTTAAGGTTTTAAAATTTTATTCATATGTTTTTTTAAGAACAAAATGATAGAAAATAATTGTTTTGACATTGTTTTGGCTGTGTTGCCATAGCGACTTAATTTGGTACTCCTAGGGAGTACAATTAACGCTATAATTGTACTCCTCTCGACCAATCAGAGTCAAGTAATTTTGTTGAGTGTACTATAAAGCTGAAAAGAAATGTGTGGTTATACTTGGTCTTTGATGTATCTATGGTGATTCACCACAGTGGATTTACCTTGGAAAATGCTGGTTACTCTACTCTCAAAAATCAATTTACTGCTTGTTTGCAAACCTTTTAACACAGCAAAATGGACCAAGTGTAACTAAGAGACTAACTAAATATTTCTTTGTGCAGTTGTCAGAAGTTCAAGACCAGAATAGAGTCCTTGAAGCACAGTCTATAAGTGTACAGCACAGACTTGCAAATCTCCAGGTAAAAAGATCATTTTTTTCTTGTATAGATCATCGGAGTGCAGCTCCATTTGGAGTATGTAATAATAGGTTTCCAATAAGCCTTTTCATAGTTTAAGAATCGATTCCACTGTGCATGGGATTTTATCCCGAATTTCTCACCTTCTTTTGTTTAAACCTTCTTTTGTTCTCAATTAAACTATGAAACGGCTTAAACTATGAAAAGGCTTATTCTCAGGAGATTGAAATTATTTTGTTTTCTTTTGTTTTCCAAATTGTGCTGTGTTGACGTCACATGCAAGGGGTCTGTCAGCAGTATTTAAATGAGTGGAAAAGGATATGGCAGATTAATAGTCACCTAGTTCAAATTCTATTGATACTGTTAAATGAACCTTCACATTTTATCGATACATCCTTTGGGTTTATTGAAGTCAGGGCACAGGTCTGGTTATCTCTCTCAAAGATTGAATTGGAATTGAAAATCAAAGAAATTAAAGAAAAACATTCGTTTCAAGGGAGAGATCCAACAAACTCTATTCACACGTGATGCCAAGTCTAAGAATCAAACCTGAGACCCAAGAAGTGAGAGGCAGGTGCACTACTGTGCTGCACCACCTTAGATTCGTTAAAGATAATGGGAAGCCCTTTTAGTGTTATGATTGACAGTGATGTCATCCTGGGTCCCCACTTTCAGTACATACATGTAGAGAGTGCACATCGCTGAGAGATGCGTTAGGAGGTTAGAGGGTTGGTCAGTTCTCATAATATTTTTTACTGATTCATCTGAAGAGAAAGCAAGAATTCACATCAAAACAAGCAAATGAAAAAGCAGTGTTGCAACAAGAACGATCTAAAAGTGTTGTTAAGTCAAGCCAAAAAACAGGTATACTGAGGTGGTAGTTTAGTAGTGATGTATGTATGAACATTAAATCATTTATTTTGTTGTAACTTGATTTTGTTTCAGATGCCA